TGGACATAAGACACATTTTCGGGGAAGCTCTTTCCAGCTGATGTGGCGCCACGGTGGAAAGAGTGTTTCAGGGGGCCCTTTGCTTTTATTTTTTTTAATTAGGGTACAGATTTAGGGTTTATGGTTTAGAGTAATTATAAATTAGTAATTTATTATATAGAGTGTTCCGATTATGATTTAAGAATTGTCGAAGGTATTTTTTTAATTTTGCATTTAAGTTGGAGTGAATTTAGGTTAAAGTGTTATATGTTTCGTTAAGGTGAAATTGGTAAAGGATTTTGTAGGTCCAAGGTTCATTAAGGTTGTGTAGGTTAAAGGGTAAGGTTCGATTAAATTGAAAATTTTAATTACTTGAAGTAAGAAGTAAGTGGAAAATTTAGGTAGAAAATAGACATACATTGGGAAATTATAGAAAATCCAATTGCATTTAAATATTAGAAACAAAGACATTCATTGAAATAAAAAATGCAATTACATAAGGGTTAACGGTTAAGTGATGATAACAGAGTTGGATATTTTTTCTATTATGCCCGATGTTTCTGCAATGCCCGCATCTTTTTTGTTCTGTTAACCTCTTCCGAATATCCATATCACAATGTATTCGAGTGGATTTTGGACGACCTGAGTCCCTCAATAGCAACGGATCTGGTACGATTGTAAGCCAAGTTTAAATCTCATATGGGTCTCTTTCGTTACCTATTGGGAACTCAAATTCATATATCTTGAATACTTGTGAAAGTTGGTATACGGGATCAACATAATTTTTGTAGTCCAAATGCGAATGTGAGCAAGCTGCTATGACAGGAGCGCATGGATATTTGAGTGCTTGAAAGAAACCACAATCACACCACCTCTCTTGTAGATTAACTCTGAAAGAGTTAGCTTCAATCCCTTGAAGAGGGCGTGGCATTTCGGTTACACGAAATAATTCACGGGTGCGAGAAAAATTTGTAACCAACATCCCATTTGATGCAACCACTTTTTTCTGTAAATCAGCTAATAGTCTTGGGTGATAAATATAGACGTTCTGCATCCAAGTAAGAGCTTGTCTACCGAGCTTTGCAAATAGTTGACCCAAACAAAAATAAGTCGTTTTGACTAACGCCGTGATTGGTAAATGAAGAGCCCCCTTTAAGGTTGAATTGATTGCTTCAGCCAAGTTGGTTGTCATATGACCATAGCGATACCCCCTATCATAAGCATTTGTCCACATTTTTTTGTTGATGTCCATAATGTACTCGCACCCCTTCTCATTTTTGCCAAACAATTCTTGTAGCATAGACTCAAACCTTTGAGGTAATAGTTCGTAACCTAAGCCATAAGGAATATGTAATAGTTAATATAAAGTATAAATAAGTAATACGAAAATGATTGAAAAAAATGGAGAAAAAGTAACATACCCATGCGCACGACTAACTGATATTCATCATTTTTCTTGTATTTTCCATAATAGTTTGCAAAATATGGCAGACACAATAACGATGTTGAACATGTGGAGGTTTCCACATTGGACCCAAAGAGTCCATTGTTGCTTTTATCCCAGCTCCTCGGTCTAAAATGATGCATACGCGTTCCCTTGTGACAACATGTAAACGTAAAATTTTAAGAAAAAAAAGCCCAAGACTCAGTGCCTTCTCCTTAAACGAAGGCAAACGCAATAGGAAGAATATTGCGGTTACCATTTTGGAACACATCCAATAATAAAACTTGTTTGTATTTCCCATACAAGAAAGTACCATCAATTTGGACAATTGGTTTACAGTACTTCATTGCATTAATACACTGAGGGTAAGTCCAAAATACACAGTAGAATTGGCAGCGATCGTGAACCACTCGATCATTCACGTAATGATGTTGAGTTTCGAACTCAACAATTTTTTCGGGATTAAGTCTTTGCATAACTTGAAACTAACTGGCAGTTCGTTGTAAGAGGAATCACATTCGCCATGAAGTTTGACAATGGCATTCTGTTTTGCCTTCCAAGTTTTTTTTATAGGAGACAGTGTACCCATATTGTGATTGTATAGCAGAAATCAACATTGCAACAGTTGTATGAGAGCTTTGCTTCACAATGGGCATGATAGCTTGGCAAATAATGTTGGAGTCCAAGTTGGGATGGTCCTGGTTTATACCTCTTGAACAATACGTATGAGGACCATTGTATCTGGTTAGTTCCCATAAGTTGTTCTTCTTCTTTCTCTTTGATACACGAACCATCCACGTACATCCTTTGTCACATTGGACACAGTAACAAACATATTTCTTCGTGGTAGATCGATCAACTCGGGAGTGAACTGAGCTACAAATATTGTAACTCTTTATTACCATCATCACTTCTTCTTTCGATGCGAACTCCATTCCAATATGTAAATCACCATTATTTACTAATGACTGAAGTCCATAGTTACAAACATTAGGGAGATCCAGAAATTCAGGCTCGTACATTGCATCATAACCAGCCCCATACATATGTACAAAAAGTTCCCCTGGTGTTGTATTTATGGGAACGTCATCCTCAACATCATCAGAGTGTACGTTAAACTGTGGTGAGTCAGGTTCAACGAATAATCTCGTTTCAGCATCATCTACACCTGGCTCACAAAGAGGTTATTCTAGTGGAGATGAGGGTTTCTTAGATAATCCAATGTTGAGGTCAAAGAAGTTGCAACTTGCGTGTCCTCCCCTTAAACTTGAAGCCATTATAGAATGTTGTCTCGATGGCATTTCTATGTGCAAGAATAGTGGCAGATGAATGTCTGCCCCTTAAAGTAGAAGAGATGTTTCCATATGGATTATTGGTGAAAGCCACGTGGGTTGAGATCATAAGCAGTTGTTGATGAATGTCTTTCTATTAAACTTGATGGCATGGCATCTGGCGTTGGATTTACCATTAATTATGTGAAATCATTAGATCAGTTGCACCGGGCTATCAACTTATCGGCTTGATACGCAATGCCAAAGTGAGAGGAATATGAGAGACCACGAGAAACACGAACCTCAATAAAAGTGGCATACATTTCAATACGAGATTGTGAACTTCCCATATGAGCATCAACCATCATAGTAACATCATCATCGTTGGAAAGCTAAAATGATGTATATATAACTGGAAAAAGTTCATTAGGAAATCTATACTAAAGTGAACATAGTCTTCTCCTACATGCTACATGAATTTTTAACGAATTTTTTGTGATTAACTCCTCAAGAATGATGTTTCTCTTCAAGGTTAAGGGGATATAATGATCTGATTCAAAAATAACCCCCTCTTCAGATTCCTGGATTTTTCCATCATAGTAAACAACAGCAGAAAGACGACTCATTTTCAGAGAATATAGGTTTAAGAGTTTTAAGAATTTTAGAGAATGAGATTTTGAAAGGTTGGAGGAGATGTGTGTTTTGAAAGTTTAGAATATGTTGCATTTAATAATGTCTATAACCGTGGCACTAGTCACGTGAAAGCGTGTTTCAGGGAGCACGCCTTCCCTTTTTTTGGTCAGAGAATAGGTTATAATTACCCTATTATATGTCATGTCCCCCGGCGAGGCACTATTCATATCATTACCTATAATGTTTGAGGGGACGCAACAATGTGGTTAAAGCACGTTTTAGGGGGTGACTTCCCTTTTTTGTTAAAGAATAGGTTATAATTATCCTATTATGTGTCATGTCCCCGACGGGACATTATTCATGTCAGTACCTATAATGTTTGAGGGGACGCAACAATGTGGTTAAAGCGCATTTCAGGGGGTGCCTTCCATTTTTTGTCAGAGAATAGGTTATAATTACCCTATTATGTGTCATGTCCCCTGACGGGACACTATTCATGTCAGTACCTATCATGTTTGAGGGGACGCAACAATGTGGTTAAAGCGCGTTTCAGGGGGCACCTTCTCTTTTTTAGTCAGAGAATAGGTTATAATTGCCTTATTATGTGTCATATCCCCCAACGGGGCACTATTCATGTCAGTACTTATCATGTTTGAGGGGATGCAACAATGTGGTTAAAGCGCGTTTCAGGGGGGCGCTTTCCCTTTTTTTGTCGGGTTATAATTGCCTTATTATGTGTCATGCCCACCGGAATGGCACTATGCTGGAAATTTATGTTAGAGTGTTGAATTTGATGTTAGAATGTGAAATTGGGTCATTTTTGGAAGTTGAGCAAGTTAAGGATAAAATCATAAATATGGAAAAGTTAGGAACTTAAATTAAAGTGTTATGTGAAGTTGGGATAAATTGGATAAAAAGGAGTTAGAATGGTTAGGTTGAAGTGATAAAGTCAACATTTATGTTGTGACATGGAAATTGTATCGAATGAGCATTGAAATGTTTTTAGGAATTATTTTCCATTGTGGGCCTATGTTAATGGGATTATAACACGTGGTTTGAAATGTATATGTTTTATAATGATGTTCATTAATTATTGTAGAAATATTTTGAAATAATTTTTACAAGGCAATGTAATTTAAGTTTCAATTGTAATATCACTTTCTTGGTGAACTATAATTGGAATATGAAGTTGACTTTGAATTTCGAATACAATTTTAAATTTTAATTGGAATATTAAGTTGAATTTGGATTTGCATTTTAAAAACATTTAACAAACATTTAATGTTGAATTTGAATTTAAATTTTAAAAATATTGTTGCAACATCCATTAAACATTTAAATAACACTGCAAAATTACAGAAAATTTTGAAATACAACTGGATCAACGACGTCGTCTTCTCGAATGAGCTCCATATAGTGGTAGTTGTTTATTTCGCTGAGGATTTCTTCGTATAACTTGCTCTTGATTCTCCCCATCTTCAGTATCATCATCATCATCGACATTTTGTTCATTTGGCATGGATGATGATGGAGGGCCTGTATAAAATAACAACCCTGGAGGAGTGTTACTAACAATCCCACCGCTCATAGAGAATTGAGAAAACTGTGAAAATATTGGCATCTATGTCTGTGAGTTGGGGGTGTTTGTGGAGAAGCACCACAAGCCAAATAAGATGTATATAAGATATGTTGGATCATTAAGCATAGCCATATATGCACCTCCATGGGGTGTCATAAAACCCTGCGGGATGGGCATGTACCTTGCAGGCTGGGTATGTACCCATGTAGGATAGGAATGTAACCCTGCGGAGATGACATATGAACTGGTGGGCTTGGCATATACCCTTGCGGAGATGGAATTTGAACTGGTGGGCTGGGCATGTACCCCTATGGCATCATCATCGGTGGATATGATGGATTTTGTGATGGTTCTGGTGGTGCGACTGGTGCCGAACCGATAGTGACTTCTCTCTGTCCACGAGTCGTGGGAATATGATATTGTGACGGTGGACGTCTATCTCGGCACCTATGAATGCTCACCCCTCATGCTTCCGCAAAAAGTAGAAACGACTTTCGTTTTCATTAAACCACTGTATATAGTTATCCGTAACCATATGAGCAGTTTTAGCATAAAACTATCGAGGGGCAAGCGTTCATACCGGTTCTCCCAAATCTCAATCTAATCTCTGTGTTTCACCACCCAGTTGACCTCTTTATTTCCTCGTTTGTCTATGTTATGCATGTTGTCTAAATTCATAGGTGCTCTAGGAATATATTGCGTACAACAAAACTGACGAAACACACGATCAACCGGATGCTATTAAACAATAGCATAACATATAAAAGGTATAACTGACATCCAAACATCTAATGACCCACTCAGGTGGGGTAGGAGGCAAGTCTTTACTTCATCGCTCGTATAAGGTATCCATTGAAACTGAAACATAAATATATAATTCTAATAAATATAATATTCTAATTATATCAAGCATTTTAAATTAAATTATTCATATTTAAAGACGTACCTCAGACCCAGCTTTTTGATTAATAATTAAACGGATTTCCTCTAGTTCACTAGGGATATCTCTATGATTCTTTCTTTTCATCGACCACCTATAAAATATAATATAAACTTAATATCACCCTATTTAATTACAAATATTTAAATCAAAATTTAGTTCTGAAATTACCTCAATAATAAGGGGAATGCATATGGCTCATTAACGACCGGGCATAAGAAAGGCATGCAGAACCACGCCCATGATTGGAGAAGCAGGAGACATCCACCGATAGCAGTTTTATTATAATTCAATATAATATAAACTTAATATCACCCTATTTAATTACAAATATTTAAATCAAAATTTAGTTCTGAAATTACCTCAATAATAAGGGGAATGCATATGGCTCATTAACGATCGGGCATAAGAAAGGCATGCAGAACCACGCCCATGATTGGAGAAGCAGGAGACATCTACCGATAGCAGTTTTATTATAATTCGTTGTACGATACATTTCTCTAAAGAGAAATGTCAAAACAGCAGCGCCCCAACTGTATCTTCACGTTTCATCAAAATCAATAAGATGACGCAATCACATACAATGCACCTGGTTACGAGATTTTTTGGGCATCAATATTCCTTCAATGATTTATAGTATATAAGTCCGAGCACATGCCTTTGCTTCATCCTCAAAAGCATTTTCATTCAAAACTTCAAAATTGACTTTTAGCCATGATAAAGATATTCTACCTCCATTGAAATCTGGTGGAGCAGCTCCAAGATACTCCATGCATATTGAATGTCAATCACCATCGGCCACACCACACATAATATTTCTGTCAACAAGAAGCCCCAAATGCATTGAGACATCCTCCAATGTAATTGTACACTCTCCACATGGAAGATGAAATGTGTGTGTCTCCGGTCTCCACCTCTCAACTAATGCGGAAATTAGGATAGGTTCGAGTTTGCAACCGCCAATAACTTTCACAATATACCCGAACCCGGCGGAAGATAGATACGGCCAAATATGTGTTGGTGTCGGTATCTTCGTGTTTTTAATAAATGTTTCCAAATACGATCATTTTCCTAATTTATAAGCATTCCAAAAAATTAAAATTAATATAATTTCATGATCAATTTAAATTAAAAATAATAATAAACATTAACATAAATTTTAAAAAATATTACCATATCACTAAAATGTCTTGAGATATGATTTGCATCTAATCGCAGCAACATTTCACTTTCCATTATAACTGTAGACAAAAAATACAATTAGCACAAATAATAATTAATTAATAAATTTAAATAAATAATAATTATATAAATATTATTTTAATAAAAAATATAATATTATTTTTAAAAAATATTTATAAAAAATATAACAACTATTTTAAAAAATATACTAATTTAAAAATAAATTTCTTACTAATAATAAGAAATTTTAAACTCAAATAAAAGAACAATTTGAGTTATATTAGAGAGAAATAATTGTTTTGGTCTGAAAAATGAGGAGGCTTGAAAGAGTTTATATAGGAGGAGGAGGAAGGTGTTAGGTGGGGGAAATGGGTGAGAATTAAATGTATTTTAATGGAATGTGTGTTTCCTGAAACGTTCATTCCCACGTGTCACCGAATCCCATGAAAATACCCGCGTGACATCCCAATCAGCAGAAATCCATGTAAGGCGCGTTTTCTGAAATACGCCTTACCCGTGTCAATCTAGTCAGCAAAAATTCCGATAAAACGCGTTATCGAGAACACGCCTTAGTACCACCTCAGACGAAAGAATATTAGTTAGGAAAATAATAGTCAAAGAATTTTATTTAGGGCATATTAGGTTTATAAGGTGATATTTAGGTCAAATCACCTTGGAAATTTGTTTGATTGTCGGAAAATGGAAAGCCCCTCCCCTACAATCTGATTTTTTTTTTTCAGGGACCCTTCCCCTACAATCTGCTCTTTTCTTTGGGTTTATAGCAACCCATTGTACATGTAAAACAAATAAAAAACTGATATATTTGTTTATTTATGGTGGAGTCGGTTGGTGCAGTTGGCAGGGGATGGGCAGCATGGTGGTGGCGTTTTGCAGACTCGAGTGACAGGGCATGGGAGGGTTGGTGCACGGCAGTGCTTTGGCAGGGTATGTGGGGTAAAAATTGGTGCTTACATACAGCAACCTTGGAACAGGAAAAAAGACACGGGAAATGAGGCTTCGTCAAAAACTTGTCCTAAAACGTCTAGATATCATATCAAGGTTGTTTAAAAAAAAACCCTGATTCAAAACAAAAACAGCATGCCAGTGCAAAGCTCTGTGAAAAGCTTTCTGTACCGGTGAAAGAATATCCTGGGTACAATTTCATTGGGCTCATCCTTGGTCCTCAGGGAAACACACTAAAGAGGATGGAGAAGGAAAGTGGGGCTAGGATTCTTTTAAGAGGTAAAGGCTCTTCGAAAGAACTTCAGTATTCCTCCGCAAAGGAAGACTTACATGTCAGAATTGAGGCATGTTATAAAGAATCATTAGATGCTGCAGTTAAAATGGTTAAGAAACTGTTAGTTCCAATTGCAGAGGGAAAGATTGAATACAAAAGGGAACAATTAGCTGAGCTTGCTAGACTGAAGAAAGATGCAAGTGGTTGCCGTGTGTGTTGTGAGAAAGTATTGCTGTCCGAGCCTGCAGTCCATTTTCATGAGCATGTCCTACGACTCATGTGGTAGCGACAGCCATCTTACAGCTTCCTGCCCTATACTAATTCACAATAACCATGACAAAAGAGTTGATGCAAATTTTTATGTTGGCCATCTAGCTCAAGTTATGGATGGAAATCGTTTGAAAGAGCTGTTTTCTCCATTTGGTAAGCTAACTGAAGCAAAAGTGATCAGAGACCAAACTACTGGTTTAAGCAAATGCTATGGTTTTGTTAAATTTGAAAATCCAACAGATGCAGCTGGTGCAATGACACATCTGAATGGTTACTAAATTGATGGAAAGACAATAGCAGTTAGGGTAGCTCAGGGTTAATCGGTTTTAGGTTACCCATCATCAGTTGGAAACCCTTTTACACCGAACCCTGGGTCTGCAGCGGTTTCCCAAATAATCCCTGGCCATGTTGCTTTCCTGTGCTACATGGGTCAGTGGTACTAGAACATCAAGCTTCTTTGCCTCAAGGCGAGGACATGAACTTGTTTCAGGCATCCTGCCATGGTGGAAATACACAATTCCAGCCTAAAAGTCGGGGCTCAGGTTTATTTCCTGCACCTTGTGTCTCAAGTATCCATAATCCAAGCAGTACTAGTTGCCCAGAAAACACTGTTTCATTCTCCTCATCCGGTTCAAATGCCTCGTTCCCTAGCAATCCAGTTCATGTCAGTTTTGAAACAATCCCGGACCATGTTACATGGCCCTTTCCATCTCGGTCATTGATACCATAACATCGAGCTCCTTTTCGCAAAGTCCAGGCAGGAACTTGTTTCAGGCATCTTACTGTGGAGGGAATAAACAGCTCCAGCCTAAAAATCAGGTCTTAAATTTAACTCCACTTGGTATCTCAAATTTTCATGACCCAGACAGTAGGCGTTCAAGAAATGGTGTTTCATTCTCGTTATCGAATTTAAATGGTTGACTCCCTAGTAACCCTGGCTATGGCAGTAATAGTTCCCAGTTTGAGCCCTATCAACAAACCAACACTGGAATCACCTCTAGATTATCTTTTATGAATGACACATATATTTTTGTTTCCTTTTTGTTTTTTGTTTTTTTGGTTGTGGTTGGGGCCTTGGATAATGGCTGAATACATAGGCTTGTGTAATGCATCAACTTGACTTGAAATACGAAAGACCTAAACTAATCTGATCCGAAATAACCCGACTAGGATCCTATCTAAATGACCCTTTTGTCCCCATTAATTGATTTTTTTAAAGTCTAATTAAACAGGAAATGACTTGATCTAAATATCATTTTTAACTATTTTAAAAATCGTTTTATTTTAATTTTATAATTATATTTAAATAAATATATATAAAATTTAGGCCTAATACACTTTTAGTATCTAAATTATATCTCAAATTGATTTTTTTTTGCCTAAAGAATTCTTCGTTAAAAATAAGTAATTAATGTTTTATCTGTTACATTTTTAAGTACATATTGTTATATTTTTTATTTTTCAAAAGAAAAAAATTTCAAAAAAATCAAACCTCTGTGTAGTCCCTCTCAATCCCATCTTCCCACTTTCGACGACGACGTAGGGTCACCACTGGCTGAGTTTTATTCAGAGAAGGGCGAGTAATTGAATGGTGGCAGCCATGTACGATAAACTGTAGTCGTAGGAATCGTAGAAAAATAGAGAAGGAAAACTTAGAAAATCGGTGAACATTCGCAACGTTTTTCACGACGATCGACGTAATTTCATAGCGGGTGAGGGACTAGGTTTTTATTGCGACAACGAGATGATTATGATGGTGTCAACGGTGACGACCACGGATTGATGATGGCAGATTAACGATTGAATTTTGGATGTTTTTTAAATTATAATATTAAATCTTTTTAAATAATTTTTTTAAAATTTTATATGCATGAAAAATATCAGATAACGACTAACTTTAACGGCGTTACGGACGGTCTAGGTACATATTTTTAATAAAAACTCTTTAAGCACCAAATATCAATTTAAGATATAATTTAGACACCTAAAAATATAATAACCCTAAATTTTATATAAAACCAAACCGGCAAACCCAAAATAAATAAACACTCGTCTAAATCCAAGTACAAACTCAATGGGGGCAGCCATAAACAAACGTTGGAGTTCAATTACTAAAAGCCCTATTGGTGTTTTGCTTTTGTCTACAATCGACACTTTCCAGTAGTATTTTTTGTTCATTTATATTCTGCGATCAGAAAATCTGACATATCAAAGAGATGGCCTTTCTCCTTCGACAAAACGGTCTTGCGAGTAAATGAGACAGACATATAGTAAGTTATTTGATATCGATTCGGTTAAAATTTGATAAATATTTGATTTAAATAGATTCGACTCGAATTTGAGTTCGACTCGAGTTCTTAACGAGTCAAAACGATCTACTTGATATTCGACTTGAAAAGTTCGTGAGCAACTCAAAAATATAATATATTAAGATTTTTTTAAAAAATAAATTATTAATAATATTAATATTTATGTGTTATTTTTTTTAAATGTAGTCTTGATTTTTTTAAATGCAGTATAAAATTTTAATGTATTAAGGTTTATTTTTGAGTTTTAGTTTGAGGTTTTAAGTTAAATTTTAGATTTTTTTTCAAGCCTTTTCGTTTTTTATGTTTTCAGTTCATGATTTCGAGTTCAAATCGAGTTTGAAAATTTTTGGCTCGTGACTTTTTGAATCTAATCGAGTTTCATTTCAGAGTTTTCGAATCGAATCGATCTCAATAATACTTGAGCTCGACTCGGCTCGTTTACAGTCTTACTTGCGAGCCACTTCCGATCTTCTTATCAGGTATAGAAGTATATGATTTTTATGCGTGCATAGATCCTTGTTGCGTCTTCGCTTTGATTTGCTAACGATTCTATGAATTTTTTTCACATATTGAAAGCAGAAGACAGTGGGTTCCATGTCTGCAAAATCGAGCATTTCATGTTGAGCATTTCATCGTGAGAAAGTTGTGAGTTTCCCCCTTTCCTGTATTTCTCTTCGATTTCTTTTGCGTTTTTCCACTTTTGATTTGCTTCTATAGTTTTAATATCTGGCAACTGGTGTGTTTTTAATGTACGATTTTGGGTTTCATTGGTGCGATTTCATCTTTTTGAGTAGACCCGTATTAATTGATGGAATTGTATTGTGGAAGGATCCTCGTTTAAAAAGATTCTGAATGATGGTTGTTTTAATTCTTATTCACCATGGGTTTTACATTTTGTTTTTAGCTAGAGTCATTACATTAGATTCTTTTCGTTCTTCTTGATAATGGGTTTCACTTTTTTTTTTTAGTTACACAGTCATTACAGTGAATAGAGAAATCTGTATTTGATTACTCATAATCTAATGATTCCAATTCTTCAACCAGTTTCCTTTTTTTTTATTATAGATTGGTATATATGTATGTTGTACCATGCTTGATACGATGCTGATATGGTATATACCCTGTAGCTCTTGGCAGAGGACCCTTCGTTAAGACGATTTAAATCTTATAAGAAGCGTGTGTGGCAACTGAAGAGAATCGGCGATGTTCTGACAATCGTTGTTGTTGCAGGTGAGGCTAATTTTTGCTATAAGTGGAATTGCTCATGAATACATGCCCAATGTTTATTTTGGTTTGAATTGATGAATTTCTCATGAATATAACCCCACAGGAAGTTGGAATTGATTCTCTAAATATGTGTTGAATGTTTGTTTTGGTTTGAATTGATTTTTGGTAACTTCGGACATCAGACGTGATTGTAATTTGTAACCGGAAATGTTATTTATTCTGCAATTTTAGTCGGCACGCCTCGTCATTGGCTTGATTGTAGAATTAATTCCATTAACGATTGCTCTCTTCTGTCCTCCCTTACCCCTTCTTCAATTGGAGACCAGGTCACCATGCCAAGAAAGCTTATTGAATCAATCTTAATAGATTTGATCGACTAGATGGTGTTGTACTGGACCCTACATAAGATCACAGAGAACTATAGTGTCGTTGTTTAAACAGTCGAACATCGATGATTAAATTTCTTGTACGATGGTATCATGTTTGTTTATGTCAGGTTGTTGCTATGAAATTTATGTGAAGGCTGTAACTCCCTCCGACCGATGTGGGTAACCCAATTCGATTTAGGATGTCACATTAGGCCCACCGGAGTGATCCACTATAAAAATCTCAGAAAATTTAAAACTTTTATTAAAACATGTAACTCATAAAATGATTTATCAGTATACAAAGATAAAACAAATTTTCAGACTCGTATATATAAAACAAAATACAATTACATGTCCCCTAATCACATGTACCATACTCTGCAAGCAACGTTGGAAGAACTCCCTTATCGATGTCGATAGATGCACTTGTACGATTCTTTTAACCTGAAAAGGTGAGTAACAGAGTGAGCTTTGGAAAGCTCAGTAATACAGTACTACCAGTTGATGCTACAGGCATGCAGATAACAAATAGGCATATTTGTTCTTATTGGTTCAGACATCTTCAGATCTTTATGTTGAGCGGATATCATACTGATATTTCAGGTAGTAACAGACAATAACTTTCAGTTCAGATGGAAATATTTCGGATGACTGAGTTCAGGAGATCATGATGGTTATCTAGTGTGTTCCTGCAAAACATTTAAAACAATTATGTTTTCTTTAAAAATCAATACATATCACAGTCATTAAAATATCATATGATTTTTAATTTAAAAAGTCTGAATCGTCCTCCAACCGAACGCTATGTCCAGTTCCCCAGAACTGTACAACTTAAGGGAGTACCTTGGGGCCTGCGAGCCTACCCAAGAAAATTTTCGGGGCCATAGAGGCCTACCCAAGAAAAATCTCAGGGTCGCAGAGCCTACTCAAAGGTCACCTTAGGTCCATAAAGAATTATCAGTCGGTGATGAACCTATCTGAGGAATTACCAACAGGGACTGAACCTGCCAGAGTCTTCATACCAGATACAGAGTGCCCCGAATAAAACATTTTCCTTCAGTAACAGAGATATCAGAAATCAGAACAGAAATCAGAGTTCACTATCGGAAGAG